AGAAATTGACAATTTCTACATATATTTGTATTGATTTAAATTTTTATTTGGCAGATGCTCAATGGGTGATTAGGTCGCAAGACTAAACATCCGAGCACTTTTTCAGGGCAAAAACATTTTGTTTGTTATGTGGTCTTTAATTTTCTACAGTTTTTGTTGTTGTTGTGAAGATCGATCCATTATTGTAAACTCGTTTGGGCATAGTAGTCGGTTTCATGTGGCTACATCCGTCGAAAAAGAAAAAATGAAGAGGATAAAGTTTCGATAACATGGGAGGAGGGGAGTTACAAAAATAAAAATAATACCAATGTAGAAAATTGGGGAAATAAAATGATGGACAATTGTAGGGGACATAATGGGAATTGGGGGGAACATTCATAGTTGCTAGCTAGAGGACATATAGATAAAGAAGGGAAGATTTACCTCAATGAGAGAAATCCTCAAGCCCTCAAAGTGAAGCATCTAAATGAAAATTTTAGACCAAGAAATTTTGGGACTTTTATAGAGAAAAGGTCTCATTTTTCTTGTATTTAGCCCATGTTTGAGCCTCATCCTTTAAGAACTAATTTTCCTAAACTCATTTTCAATCATACATTCTTTTAATTAAATAATTATACATGAAAATGTAAAAAAATTTCCTACTTCTTAAAAATACATTTTAAAATAAAAAAAAATTACTATTACAAAGTATATTCTCTAAAAGAATGGAGAGTATAAACTCCTACTTCTGTAAATTTTGAAAAAATGGGACAACTACAATAAGGTCAAAATCAGGGTACAAATATTGAGTTGCCCAAAGAACCAAATAAACCATTTGGACAAGTAATATGAAAGCCCAATAATGGATGATAATACCCCGAAAGATAATGACCCAATAACTCTTCTTTTGAGCCTCCATAGTTGTCATAAGTGGAAATTATACCCATCCATATGTTTTAAGATCCAACTTAAAAAATCAAATTCAAAGTTTTTTATTCAAAAATTAGATTATAATTAAAAATTGTAATATTAATAATATTATTATAAAATTAGTTTAATTTACATACCCACCCTCCATCATTAACCTATCCAACTCGATTTTCAATATAAACCCTATAATCACTTTCCTCTTCCTTCTCTCACTAACTCTCCTTTCTTTCTTTTCTCTTTTATCACTCCAATGACTTATCTCCAACGATGGTGTTCAACTCTCCGTCCGACAAGTACCTCCATTACCAGGCAACGCGTGTCCTTCTACCCATTTTTCTTCCTCACCGACGAGTGGTGATGCGGTGGCAAATCCGTTGCGCTGAACCGCCATTGTAAGCAACAAATCCATCACCGTTCAGTACTGAACGGTGTTTGAATTCATGATCGCTTTGGGCAGGAAAGAGCTTAGAGTGTTACATACAGCAGTGTATGCTCTAGTTGTCGGTATGTGGCGCTTTGTGTATGACAGTCTTTGCATGGTGATGGGTTTGTGGTGGTTGTTTTGTGATGGATTTGTGGTTGTTTGTGTGGTGTTTTTATGTTGTTTTGTGGTGAGGGTATGGTAAGGGCAGTTTTGGTGGTGATGTGGTTGGTGACAGTGATGAGGTGGTGGTTACAAATGATTTTATTAATTGTGATCAATTAAAAAGATAAATTGTGATCAAGAAATAATTTGTAACCTAAAAAACTATTAATTTCTGACCATATAATGAGTTGTGAATTATAATATTTGTGATTTGTGACTGATAAACAAATCGTAACTTGTAAAATTTTTGAATTATGATTATAAAATAATTTGTGACATATAAAAATTTTGATTTGTGATCGAAAAATAATATGTTACTAACTAAATTATTAATTTGTGAGCAAATTGCTTAGATCTGTGATATTAATACATTTCATTAATGAAACATATAATTAATCAATTAAATCATGAATAAATTTTAGTGAATATCTTATTTTTGAAATTTGAAACTTTTGTTCTTAGTTTTAAAATGGGTGATACTTAACATTTTAGTTATGAATGTTTCCCATGAGTAGAATTCTCTATGTGCACAATTGGTCAATGGCGGACCATGTCGAAAGAAATAATCAAGACAATAATCTACAAGGATTGATTGACTAACCAATATGTCACATTAAATCAGAGATGAGACTGCAGGAATAAGGAAAACTAAGGATCGTGAAAATCGTAGCTCCTTGTCAAATATAACTAGAGATGGCAAAAAATAAAAACCCATTAAACACGATACCTATAGGCCTCGTTCCAAATGGGATGAAGGTTTTCCACGTAATAGAGTACACGAGATGGGAAGGGTAGGATACAAGAAAAATGATTTCCGTCCGATTTAAAGCCCATTTCAAAATATTAGTTTTTCTATCCTACTAAAAGAAAAATTCATCATTTTTCCTAGAGGAAACATTAGTTGTTCTACAATAAGGAAAGAAAGTAATAATTCACCAATTAAAGACAATTAAAAAAATAAAAAGGAACAATAAATGGGGCAGGAGACCTTTCCCATTCCATTGCATCTTAATCCGGTATGGGGTGAGATAAGATAATAAAAATATCCAACAGGACGGGGGATAAGAATGACCGTGTCGTCCCACCTTGTTATCATCCCTAAGAGTATCTCCAAGAGACTCTTTTAATATGAGATACTCTCTATTTTAAAGAGTCAACCCTTTAAATTATATTTCAATAGACTTTTTAAATTAACATTTTAATTTAGAGAGTAATTTGGAGAGCCAAATTCACTCTTAATAATTAAATTCAAAATTTAACAATTTTTAATGTAAAAAATTAATAAAATAATTTAGAGAAAAGCTAGTTAAAATAAAAGATAGAGAAAAATAATAAATATTTTTTGAAAGTAATATAATTAAGTATTGAATAAAAAGGGTTTGTTGGAGTACTTAAAAAATTTAACTCTCTAAATTTATAAGTACTTTCCAAATGATAAAATAAACTCTTTATAAATAAAGAGTCTCTTGAAAATGTTTCAAAAATAACTACCCGAAAGCAATGATACAAAGAAGGAAGAGTGAAAGTGAAAGGGGAGTACAAACAGTTTTTTCAAATAATAACTCCCATTACCTAATCATTTCCCAATTTCTTGATTTTGACTTATACATCAAAGGGTTTACTCGAGAAACTCTTCTAGCGTACCTTTTACATGAATCAATATTATGATTCTTTGTGGCAATTACATGATCCATCCAGGAAACACTTTAACATTACTCATTAACTGCATTTTAAACTTCAACAAGATTGACATAAAGAGATTCAAGAAACTCTTCTAACAAACCTTTTACACGAATCAATATTATGATTCTTTGCGGATATTACGTGATCCATCCAGGAAACACTTTTAACACTATTGATTAAGTGCGTTTTAAACATCAACAAGATTGACATAAAGAGATTCGATTTAACTACACTTAGAGCGGGGTGAATACGTTTAATTTGTGGTATTTAAATTTAACTAACAATAATTTCCAACAAGTCACAAATTATTGAATCTAGATGAATTTTCAAGTCAATTTAAAGCAAGCAAACAATCAATGAATAATATAAATGCTCGAAGATAAAGAACACCAAGATTTGGTTACGAAGGAAAACTCTTGAACAACTCTTCAAGAGGAAAAAAATCTCCGAACAAACTTGCCAGTAATTAGTCTACTAGAAAAACTTTAAACTTATAGGGTTGGTATTGATACAATTAGACCTTAGTAAATTCTGAGCTCCAATCTATAATCACTGAAGAACTCCTCGGTTGTGCACTCCAGTACCACGTCCAAAACCTCAAGATTTCTTCTCTCTTTGTGAGTCATCAAGCCTCTCTCGATCTTCAAAATTCTGAAAGATATTTAAAGATGTTTATTTTTATCTTTTGAATTTTCGATGATTTGATCTTGTGGTTGAGGTAAGAATAATTTAGAATGAGTAACTGATCTTCTATATTGTGTTCTCTTAATTGGATAGATGTCCAACACTATAGGAACGAATTTTGGCTAAGGTATTTGAGATCTTAAAAAGACTAAAATCACGAACCAAATTTTGCCCGAATACAACCGCCACTTGAGCGCGTCATCTGGCGCCTGATCGGTGGTCTCTTTCCGTTTAAACCTCTCAAGTGATTTATGGGCGGCCAACGAGCTATTTTTGTCTTGATTTGATCTTTTTGAGTTGATTTTGACTCTTTCAAAAGACAATACCAACATTCGACAACTTAACCCTGATTACGACTCAATAAATTGACGTTCTGGAAATGGAACTTTGCCAATTCCCTTTGATCCTAACAAACATTTTAAATATTTCATTTATATATATACAAATTTGATCTCCTAAGCACCGTTACTTATGTGGCGCACAATACTAGGTGATGTAATTAGTTTTAAAACTAATCATTATCTTTTACTACTTATTGTAATGTGCCACGTCATTCGGTGCTTAGTATAAACTAAGCACCGATGCTTAGGAGATCATGATTGTATATATGCATGTTAATTACTAAATATAATAATATTTTTGTACAATAACATTAAGAAATAATATTTACACTCATATTTACTAATAATCTAACATATTATAACATATTTTGCCTAAATTCTAGAAATAAGCTTTTCGTTACTTTATTTCATAAAAACAACGTAATTTCCCTTTTTTATTTTTAATTTTGGTACAAATTTTCTTTTGATTATTTGACACCTTTACTATGCTTGTAAATCTTTCATCAATTATAAAACTCCTTAGTAACATCATTTTATTCATATATTACTGCATAATTAATCTCGCACGATTTAATTATTACGTTAATAGCTGTCTCTTCTTACTGTTACTCTATTACTCAATCACATGGCTTGGCTTCAGCCTTCATATATATTTGCAAAAAGGAATAAAAATAAATAAAATTCATATTAAAATGAACAAGAAAATTAAAGTTTATTTAATTTCATTCCTGTTAATAGATGAGTCCCAAAACTATATATATGTACATATTTCTTACGAATGAATTCACATCCACAAAAACAGAAGAATAAATTTATAAAAATAGAAGAAAATATTTGAAATACTCCAAAGACCTAAACTTTTGGCTTTGCTGCATGAGAGGCTCTGTATCTTGCAGCATATCTGTTGAATAAGGCCAGAGAAATGCTTGTAACCTGTTCAAGATTAAGCACCTTGGCCTTGATCATGGCTTTCGTCTTTCCCCCAATAGCCCGGCCTGAGAACCCATCGATACAAATACTTGCATCAGATTGGACAGTGCTCATCCATGTCTCAACATTGCTTGCATGCCAAGGAAACTCACTTCCGCCATTTTCTTTTATCTTCTCTACTTCTTTGATGCAATTTGTGAGCTGATCCATGTTGTATATTTGTTCAACAATAATAAGAACCGGTGTGTGGAATGAAATAAAGATGGAATGAAGTGAAAAAATGGAGGCCAAAATATAAACCTATGCGGTCGCATAGGATCCTTCTATGCGACCGCATAGAAGAAGGAATATAGCCGTTGGGCAGTTTTTCAATTATGATTTTGGCGGCTTTTCATTTCATTTTGGCACCATTTCGTGTGCCAATATTTCATGGCTATAAATATGTGATAAATAGACATTGAAACAACATTACAAAAACATGAAAAACATATGGAAAACTTTGAGATCCTTATTACATTCCACAATCAAAGAATCAAAACTTTCTTTCTTCATATTCATAGAATTCCTCCTTGTGTTCTTCAAGATTCGGGTGAAAAATCATTTGTGCTTTTGTGATTTTCTACAATAAGACTTGATCAATCCTACGAACTATTTGCCATAAAACCTTTTAAGCACCAAATTTGTACACGAGAAGGGGCAAATATCGTTTGAGGACAACGAATCACTTTCGTGTTTGAGCCTTCCATATTGGTTTATTTTCCTTGTTAATTTCCATCTTCTTGAATTTCTATTTCTTAATTTTCATCTCCATTTCCCCCGATGACATAAATATCCAACAATCTCAAACGATTTTTTGCAATGGAGAATGGAACCACTTCAGCAATGATCAAATTGATGGATAGAGATTATTGTGGACCAATTGATGACACTAATTTTACTGGATGGTTCGATGTGTAGAAAAGGCATTAATCCATATTCTCATTTTCGGGTTCGGTAAAATCATCATTTTGCCTCTCGAAATTCGGTAAGTGGAAATTGTGTTTCAATTTTACGCATACATGCAGTACATGAATACAATATGCACAACATCGATGTTATATTTTGTGTTCATTGTGCATAAGAATCTAGAATCATACACGTTTTTATGTGTTGGAAGAATTAAAATTGCTGTATGAATATGCATAATTTCGGCCTGAAGTTCTGTTATTGCATGAGATTGAATTTCTAGAAATGAGAATTATGATTGCAAAATTCAGATTTCTTTTCGGTTAATTGGCAACCGTACACGTCTGATGGAAAAGTTGTCTGTTAGAAATAAGTCAAGAGAATTTAATCGGTTGCATGTGTGAAATCTGGAAAAGGCAGAAACTGATTGACGACCAGATTTTAATGAATGGTGCCATTTCATTGATAATCACTTTATTCCAAATCTGTGTGCATGCCTCAACCAAATCTGTGTGCATGCCTCAAATCATGAATCTGTGGCATTATAATCACTTTATATATGCATGTTATGGAAAGACATATCTTCCTACTTAAAAAAAATCTGATTATTCATTTTTGAATTGGTATAATCCACTTGGAATTGAGTAGCATAATTTCATTTGTCTTGGTGGATGAAATGGCTTCCGGTTATCTATCATCATTTTATGAACGGGCATGAGTATGAATTTTGAGATGTCAACCATTGTATTCTCTCATGTCAAAACTGCTCAATTCAAGAAACAATCTTATTTGAATTGGGTCTTGTGTTGCTGCGCAATTATGAATAATTTCTGGACCATTGTATACTTGATTAAAATATTTGAATGATTGGAGAAATACATAAAAGTATTTACTTAATTTGAAAATGTGGCTTTGCAGTATGTGATATATGGCAGAAAATTGCATTCCTTATTTGGTATGTGCATGCATGATATATTTGGTTGGAATAAAGAATGTGTGTCATCCTTTAATTAAATATGCTTTATTATGGAATTTAATTTTATATGTGATACATGGAAATGGTTGAATCTAATGAAAGGACTATGGTAAAATTGACTTGCTGTCAACATGAAAATTCTTATTTATTAAGCCTCTTATTGATAGAAAATTGTGTAGAATATTGTGAAATATTCTAGAATCAATTTTGATATATATTACTACATTTGGAATTGATTAATCCATATGTTTTATATGGATGCACTTACATAAAAAATGTGAATAAATTATTAAATGCATGAATCATCATTATATGTAATTTTTCTTGAATGAAATGATTCGTTTATGCACAGTTATATATGAAAGAGTGCGATGCTTATATATGAAAGAGTGCGATGCTTACACCTGTTTATGTGTAATTTGAATTGGTGTGAGAATTAGTGTTTAAATTAAAAATGAAAGATTGTGTCTATTCATTTTGAAGTTTTCATAACTACCAATATTCGAAAATTGTATGTGAAATGTATAAATGTTTGAAAGGATGCGATCATTTTGTTGAAAGTACATGAACTTTCATTGAAGGAATATTGCTATTTTTTTTAATAGGTGCCTTATTGTTTAAAATAAAATGACACACACTGGAAACAAATGTTACTATCTTGTGAAGTGTCACTAATTTGATAAGTTGCATACATTCTTTGGTCTATGTGTTGACATTGGTCAAATTTGTATGATCAAATTAAAGAGAATTTGATTGAAGTACAAGTGCATTTGCTTGAATTATGACAAATTGTGTTATGTTCTATTAGAAATTGTTTGCGCAATTACTGAGACATGGAATCATTTTATAGAACACAAAATTATGTCTATAGTTGGCGGTGATGCTTGATATCTTTGAAAATGGTAGTAAAAATGATCCTATGTAAAATTATATTTGCATAAGAATATGACAAAATGTGATTTTGTCCAAATGTGAATAAGGTAAACATGTATCTTATTATCCAATATGACATAATGCTATCTTGTGAAAGTGATAAGTTGTAAAAAGATTGGAGAAGTTGCAATTCTTGTGAATTAAGAAAAAAATTCTTCTTCTTTATTCATTGAATGTGACTTCAATTATGGAACCAATTGATTTGGTTTAAACTTGGAAAAGCATTGTTGGTCTATGAGATAACCTTGGTAAAATTGTGTGATCACAATTAAGATGGTCGATTTGAAGTAAGTTGTGACTTAACGACCACTATCTAAAAAAATACTTAAACTTCCATAAATGACAATCCCAAATGTGGGGGTTGACATAGTGAGGAACTCTAAGTTCGAGTATAACTCAAAATGTGGAGATTAACTTTAAATGCTTGTGTTCCTATATGAGAAGTTCAATATTTATGAATGCAATATTACATGATTGCATATAAATTCCTAAGTGAGGAATTGTGGGGGTAACTTAATTTAAAAGTTACCATATCATTTACATATTAATCATAGAAAGATATCTATGAAGGAAGAAAAGGTAGAAAAGTCCTTATGATTATAATTATAAGGATGAGATACATTATCATTAAATTTAAATGGATAATTTGGGTGAAAGCCAATCATGGCGCTTTCAAAACCAATGTGAATATTTAAGAGTATTCATAAGTTGAAGATCACTGTATATTTCAATAATGAAATATGAATACCCAAGTATGAGATCCACAATAAAATTGATTGAGAAGTGTAATGATTTGATAAAAATGTTCAAATCATGTTTGGATATAAATAAAGCTTTAAATAAAGCAAGTGAGAAGCATATGGCTTCACAAAAAGATTTCTTGGTGGTGACAAATTGTATCTATCAAATGAATCGATCATTGGCTAGTTATACTTTGACAAGATATTAAGTCACATGAAATGAAAAGTAAAGACATATAAGTCTTAAAGGTGACGTCACAAGGAAATTATCAAAGGTGGAATAATTTTCGAAGAGAATTTAGCGAATCCTTTAACTAGACCATTAAATAAAACTTTAGTGGCATATATTTCGAGTAGGATGGGGTTGAAACTCCTAAACTATAAAGGTCCACCAATGATGGCAACCCTACCCATCGCTTACTCAAAGGGGTAATCTATGGGTTCAAAGGGTAACAAACAAGTCATTCGATATATGGGATGGTTTCAGCCTTATTAAAATCCGCAATAACCCTATCCTAAGTAAAATAACAAAGGTACTGGAAGAACTTCACCAAGACTAACTTCGAGGTGGTGCCGTCTCAATAGAGAGTTGGAGTTTCTCTCTTAAAAGTTTGTCGAAAAGGATGAACGCAAGGCCATAAAAGCGCCAAGCGAGTTATGAAGAACTTGAGAACACGTGATACTTGTGTGTGTGTTCGGACCAGTATTGTCACATGAAATAACTGGTTCAAAGCTACGGCTACCTTTGATTCCGACTTTACTTTGTTTGAATTATATTATGGTTAGATTCAAATCGAAAGATACCTAATCCTTATGCAAGAGTATCGTATACTTTGAATATGAGATCTTATTAAGTGTTGAACAAGTGGGGGATTGTTGTATATTTGTTCAACAATAATAAGAATCGGTGTGTGGAATGAAATAAAGATGGAATGAAGTGAAAAAATGGAGGCCAAAATATAAACCTATGCGGTCGCATAGGATCCTTCTATGCGACCGCATAGAAGAAGGAATATAGCCGTTGGGCAGTTTTTCAATTATGATTTTGGCGGCTTTTCATTTCATTTTGGCACCATTTCGTGTGCCAATGTTTCATGGCTATAAATATGTGATAAATAGACATTGAAACAACATTACAAAAACATGAAAAACATATGGAAAACTTTGAGATCCATATTACATTCCACAATCAAAGAATCAAAACTTTCTTTCTTCATATTCATAGAATTCCTCCTTGTGTTCTTCAAGATTCGGGTGAAAAATCATTTGTGCTTTTGTGATTTTCTACAATAAGGCTTGATCAATCCTACGAACTATTTGCCATAAAACCTTTTAAGCACCAAATTTGTACAGAGAAGGGGCAAATATCGTTTGAGGACAACGAATCACTTTCGTGTTTGAGCCTTCCATATTGGTTTGTTTTCCTTGTTAATTTCCATCTTCTTGAATTTCCACTGCTCGATAGTCCTTAGCCTTTGTTTGTTTGAGTTGTTTAGCCACTTCTGTTACATAGGCTCGTGTGGACTGAGCCCGGGAAAGGCTAACCCTAAGTGCGATATGGGCTAATTGCTCGTGAGTTTGTGTAGTCGTAAAATTAGCAATGTAGTTGGATAGACAACGGACACATAGATCTTGATAGAGCGTGGCTTGGCA